TTTGTCTTCTGCACTTGTTGCAAGAGGCATTAGAATTCCCTTCATTTTGGAAACAAGAAAACAAAAAGAAATTTTGCCTGACCATGAATATCTTCTGTATAGACAAAAAAGCAGTAAACGCCGTACCAGGTCGTTCAAGCCACCGTTCTGGCTGTCGATACCAGCTTCCCTGCAGCGGGCAGCCCTCCGGCTCGCCCTCGCTGCCACCGGCCCAGGTTAAAGAGTACCACGCACAGGAGGCTCTCCCCTGGGGCCAGCCACAGGAGCCAGGTGTGTGAGGTGTCCCTATTTCTGCCTTGGGTGTCGGTGTCCAGGCGGGTCAGGGAGAGCGGCACTGTGACCTGCACCCTGCTTCCTCCCCGCAGCTTCCCCTATGGACCCCGGGACCGATGTGCTCGGAGGGACCAGAGGGACCCTGCCCCACGTGGGAAAACCACAGAGTGACATCTCCACCTGCCGGTCCAACATGGGACTTGCTGATGACATGGAGGGGCGGCTCCGGGAGAGCGGCCTCCTCCGACACGTGCTGGCAGGATGGCTCGGGATGCACCCCAGAGTCGGCCCAGACTGGTGCTGTCAGCCAGGCTTCCCCCTGCGTTCACGTCCAAATCAACCAATTTTAAAAAGAAGTCGTGATCCCCGAGCGAAGGCCCCCAAGGGAGTCCTGCAGGGCTGTCGGCTCTGCACCTCGCGCACCCACCGGCGTTCACACTTGCACACACAGAAAAGCCTGGCCATGACACAGACCCGGGGCTCAGGGCCGTCCAGGAGTGCACGTGGAGGACACGGGTCGCTGTCCCCAACACGCTCACGCTGCCGGCAGCATGGCCACACTCTGCCCCGGGGCTGAGGTGGGAACCTACAGGTTGTCCAAGGACCCGGCAGGAGACACAGCCGTCCTCCAGACTGAGGTATCCGAAGCCACCGCGTGAACTTAGGGCCGTCCCGAGTATGTGGCCACTGTGGTCTCCCGCCGCCTCCGCCAGCCCGTGAAGGGGACAGGTGTGTTCCGGGAGGCGGGTTTTAGCGGAGGACGTGGTCAGTCAGGGGTCACACTTCAGGGCTGAAGTAATTTGAGAGTCTGGGAGTACTTAGAACCGTCACTCTAACGGGGCTTCCCTACAGAATCACACCGCCTTGCTCTCCTTGGTCACACTCGGCCCTCCTGGTGGAAGCCACCATGCCTACACCGGGGTCGCCATGGTTAACATCCACAGAGGGTGCGCCCCGAAGGACCAGGCACACCACAGAGCATGCCGCTGCCCTGCCGTGTCCGCAGGCCACTCGGGACGTCCCAGCACAGGAAGGCAACCTGGCCTCCCGCCAAGCAGGCCCTGGGAGGGAGAGAGAGCGGGCTAAGAGCCAGGAGCCCTGGCCGGGGCCCTCCAGGGCACGGACTCCAGCACCTGGCGCTCTGTAAGCCTGAGCACGGCCAGGTGCCACCTGTGGCGCTTTGGTGGCTGACAGGCTCCCAGTAGGACAGCGGTCCCAGGAGACCCCAGGGAGCTGAAGCGTTCCCGTCATCCAGGGACTGCAGCGATGACACGGGGTGGCCAGCAGCTGTCCCGAGGAACACTTAGCGCGGGGGATGAGAGCCCCCAAGACCTCCTGGCACACGAGACGTGGGCGAGGGGACTGACGGACAGTCCTGATCTCTGTGGGTCCAGGCTAGTGTCTGGGTTGTGTCTTTGTTTTTAACAAAAAAGTTTAAAAAGTAAAACAAATTTAAAATAGAAAAAACCTGGCCGGCAGGTGGTGTGGTGGCTTAGGTACTCGACTCTCACATGGCCAACTGAGGTTTGAATCCTGGACCTGGCGGCTTGCTTTCTCACTCTCCTCTCTCTCTCTCTCTCTCTGGTCAAATTGAAAAATAATGATGATAATGCTAAATAAAATTAAATAAACAATTATTTTAGGAAAATAGAAAAAAACTTAGAGACTAAAAACATGAAGGAAAATATCTGTATGCCTGTGTAACACGTCATTTTAAGCGAGGTTTTGTTACTGAGGAGTCAGAAGATGAAGAAGAGCGAAATAGTTTGTAAAGTAAAAAATGTGGCATAAGCTTGGGTAACTTGTTAGCGAGAAGAGAAGTGCTTCGACTCTGTGAAGCCGAGTGTGGCGTTCCCCAGGTCCGCAGTTGGCCAAGTGCCCTGGGCCTCTCGCTGCTCACTGGCCGCTCGGGGCCACGCCACGGTTCTGGGGATGTGCCTGGACAGGCGCCCCACCTTCCGTCCTGTGCCCGTGTCTGGGCCGCGGCCTTTCCTGCGTTTAGCTGCACAAATGCGTCCCATCGCAACACCGAGACAGTTCCAGTTCCAGAGTTATAGGAGGGGTCCGAGAGCTGACGAGGGCCTCCTCCCTGGACACAGGTGCCCGGGTGCAGCAGCTCTGCACGCTGTCCCCTCCCCTCTCCCTTTGGCGGGCTCCCCTTACGGTGACATCAGTGTTTCTGACTACTCCCTGGCAGACCAGCGCGGTCACCGCTGTCACACTGCACCAGAAACCCGCCGGACTCTGGAGCCTGGCCAGTCGGGCCTCCTGCACTGCAGTCGGCAACACACGTCGTAACCCTCCCCTCGGAACAGCCCGGGGCCCGTGCCGCCTCTGTCGACACTGGTCTCTGAGGGGTGCAGGCCCGTTTCGTTGGCGAGGCTTCTGCATGTATTTATCTGTCTGTTGTTAGCGGTACGCACACTGCCAGAAAGACGGAGGGAGAAGGCGCCGCCAGGGGACGCGCTCTGCAACCCCGCCGCCTCCATTTCTCCATTCTGTTACTCGTGGGCGTGCACACAGGCGGGCGTGTTTAAGAAGCAGAGCTGGGATTTTGCCATGTGGAGTCCAGCTCTCTTAACCATGGGGCTACGGGCCCTGGAACAGTTACCTCGAGAACGTCCCTCCGTTTACCTGACTTTACTCAGGATTTTAAAACGCAAGTTTAGGGGTCCGGCAGACGGAGTAATGGTTACGTCCCTGGACTCCCACGTAGTCAACCGTGGTTCAAGTCCTAGACCCAGTGGCTTAAACCTCATGCTGGGCCGTGTGCATACATGCCCCAAATCTTGACAGAATGGAGGAGAAAGGATTTCAGTGTGGCCATCTCCCCCGGAGGGTGATTTCTTGTTTTCTGTCTCTGTCTCTCTGGCAAGTGCGTGCACCCTTTAGCAAAGTTCTCCCTCTAAATAAATAAATGCAAGTTCAGCGTTGCTGTCAGGAACGTCCCCGGCCTGCTGCTCTGTCCTGTAGGAGGCCCAGTCTGCTGGCATGCGCTGTCACGGGCACGGCCTTCAGCTGCGTGCTCAAAGCAGTGTCTCACAGACGTCTCATGGTCGAGCTGCCCACCCTTTTGTGAGTGGTTTCGCGAGAGTCTTAGATGCTGTCCCCATTGGGCTTTCACCCACTAGGTTGGCTCCCATGGGTGATCTTCTATATCTGTTATTTTTCCTGAAAGTATGAGCTGGCAATCCAAGCCAGGGAGAGCTCTCCCTTTTCCTTTGTTTATTTTCTCCTTCATTTGTTTCTAAAATCAAGTCAGGGTGCACGTTCTCTGTGCTGTCCCGGGGGTGCACGTTCCCTGTGCTGTCCCGGGGGTGCACGTTCCCTGTGCTGTCCCGGGGGTGCACGTTCCCTGTGCTGTCCCGGGGGTGCATGTTCCCTGTGCTATTCCGGGGGTGCACATTTCCTGTGCTGTCCCGGGGGTGCACATTTCCTGTGCTGTTCCGGGGGTGCAATGCTCGCGTTGGTTCTGACCTTCCGGTCTCCTGGGGCTGGCCGTGGGCGTTCTGGTGACCTGTTCCCAGGACTCTCTGAGCCCTTCCTATGCTTCTGACTCGGCAGATTGGTCAAGGGTCATCCCGGACTCCTCCAGACCCAGCGCGGGGACTGGCCAGTTCTCCAGGGAGCCCCAGTTCCTTTGCGGGGAGAAGGAAATTTGGAAACGACCATGTGGGCATGGGCTGCTGTGCCCAGGCCTGTCCGTGGTTCCCGCTGCAGAGCAGGCAGAGCTGGGCGTGGGTGTCTCTGCACGAGTCTACACTCACACGCCAGTTCTGTATGACAAAGTCGCCCATTCCTCAGAAACCCGCGACCACATTCCAGCGCCAGCCCCGCTCTGACCCTGCAGTGTGTCGTCAGCCTGCTGCAGTGAGCATCTGCCTTCGGCACCTTGCGGTCTTTCTCATTCGTTCAGGCCAGAGGCGACTTGCAGACAGCCAGCTCGTACTACGCAGATCACAAACCTGCTACTGCAGCCAGTACCCGCCCGCTACTGTAACCAGAACCCGGAGCAGATCACAGACCTGCTACTGCAGCCAGTACCCGCCCGCTACTGTAACCAGAACCCCGAGCATCAGAGGCCACTCCTAGGACTGACCGAATGCTGGCGTGTGCACACCGCCACCTGCACTGTCACGACAGGGCATTTCTGCCCTCCAGCACGCCCCTCCTTAGCAGCGTCCTTGGGAGATGCTGAAACGACCACATTTCTGCTTCTGCTTTTTAAAAATAGATTCATTTCTTGGCTGAGTTTTTAGCAAGTAACTTTTATGTCTAGAGAATTTTGACAAAAATTTTATTTATTTATTTTTTTTGAGAAGTTTTTGGTATAGGGCGTGTGCGCTCGCCAGACAGACAGAGAGAGACAGAGAGACAGAAAGCGAGAAATCACCCCCAGGGGGGATGGCCACTCCACAATCCCTTCTCCTCCATTCTCCTCTCGGGATCCTGGGCACGCATGCACATGTGCCTGGCGTGAGTTGAAGCCACCGGGTCCAGGACTCGAACTGCGGTCGACTACATGGGAGTCCAGCGATATAGCTATTACGCTAACTGCTGGTCCCGACAAAAATTTTAAAATGTGATTCTCACACAAGTAGGTGTACTTACTATGTGTCATTAAAAAAGGAATGTAAGAGTTGTCGACACCTAGTAGGGGTTTTCCCTCGGGGTAGAGGCTGGGCTGTGAGCGGGACAGCAGCATGTCCCGTGTGTTTGTCCCTAAGGAGCATCGCAGCCACTGACCATGAGCCTACGGACGCCAGGAAGTCCTTCCCCTGTTTCGACGAGCCCAACAAGAAGGCGACCTACACCATAGCCATCGTCCACCCCGAGGAGTACGAAGCCCTCTCAAACATGCCGGTGCAGGTGGGTATTCTCGAGGCTTCCCTGCTGCAGACAGTCATTGCAGTATCAGGTGGGGCGCCCTCTTTGCTATCGAAGAGACAGTCATTGCAGTACCAGGTGAGGCACCCTCTTTGCCATCGAAGAGGACCCGCTGGGCTGTAAAGGTGGGTGGGCACTAGCAGTACCCGCAGGGCTGAGGTCCTGGCCACATGCTTCTCTTCGAGCCCTGGCAGTCCTTCGCCTGAGATTCACTGCCCCACGAGAAAGCCACCTTGGAGTTCCTGAGCAAGCGTGAGTCCCGCAGACAGACCTCCGTGTGCGCGCCACGTGGTGGGCAGACTCCCTCGCCATGGTGGGTCGCCGAGAAGTCAGCCCGCTTGCTATTTTACTGGGTTGTTGGAAAAGTCCTGACATATTTTTTCTGTTTTTCTGTGCAAAAATGCACAATGACTTTTCTGACAACCCAATAATTTCTAGTTGAATATTAGCCCAGGTTTTTTAAAAAGATAGAACTCATGTAAAGTGTCAATACTTAGGGGCCAGCAAGATGCTGTGGTACTCAGGGCACTGGACTCCCACATGGCCGAGCGCAGTTCAAGTCCTAGACCTGGTGACTTGCTTTCTCACTTTCCCTCTCTCTCATGAGCACGTGTCCTATAGCAAAATTTAAAAAACAATTATAATGAAATAATTATCAAAAAGAAGAAATATCATTCAACACTGGATCACTGAGCTGGCCCTGGGGCAGGGCGGCTAAGAGTGCTCCCAGGGACCTGGAGCCCACACAGCCAAACACGAGTGGAGTCCTGGCCCTGTGGCTTCAGAACTACACTGGGTACGTGTGTGTGTGCCCCAAACCCTGATGGGATGCAGAAGGGGAGAAAGAGGGACTGTGGCCCAGCCAAGCCCCCCGGGGGCGCTCTCTCTCTGGGGAGTTCACACTCCTGGGGGTGAGTAATAACTGTGCCCAGGCCCTGGGCTGTAGCCACCAGCGCTGGGACACTGCTCACCGAGACTGGGGAAACGAGAAGTGCTTGTCAAATGTCTAAAAATAAGAACTGGACATGCTCTGGGCACGCCGCGCCGTGTGGTGAGGCCGCACGGGAGGCCTGGTTTCCCTTCCCAGAGCCCCCGGAAGAAGCCGCGAGCCTTTCTCAGCACGACTGCGCACCTGTAGCCTCAGCTGCTCAGGAAGTAGAGGCCGAAGGATCAGGACACAGCGAGGCCTCGTCTCTCTCTCTCTCTCTCTCACACTCGCACACACGCACACACTCACAGACTACAATTTCTGTCTCTGTGTTTGACATGAGACTGAAACCTTGCATCTGTTGTCGCTCTCACCCCCCCCCCTGCAGATAACGGGGTCACGGCCTCAAAGTGGGGGTCTCCAAACACCTACCTCTGACGCGAACAGTGTCAGGCTCACCTCAGCATAGCGGGTCTCTCTGCACCAGGACACTCGGCCCAAATGACACCTCCTGTCTTTCTGCCCCACTATCTGAGCTACCGTCATTGAAATCAATCTTCTCGTAATAAAATATTTCTTAAAAAAGCAAAAACAAAGCAAAATGGAAGCGTAAGCGGCTGAAACGCGAGCTGTGGCCCGCACCCAGACCGCAGTGCAGTCAGTCTGTCCATCTGCTCCCCTCTGCCATTGGCCACGCGAGAAGGTAAGTTTTTACTGGCGAAAAAGAAAGGAGTAAGCTCACAGTGTGACACGGGGATCTGGAGGGCGACACCGGGGAAAATCCCAGCAAATGTCCGGCGTGGGCGGAGGCGGGGGAAGAAAGGAGGCGACCGACCAGCCCCTGCTCGCTGTCTCCTCGCGGGCCCCTCACTTCCCCCAGGCCCAGGCAATGGTTCTGGGAGGCGACAATTCCAGGTCACGGCGTTAGGAGTTGAAAGCCAGAGCGGCTGGGTCTTCATGGCCTTGCTGAAGCCGCGGCCCGCGTACACACGCACGTGCGTGCCATGCTTGCGAGCCAGGGTGCGTCCGTCCCAGTCAGCCCCCCTCGCTGTCCTCCTCCAGCCCCCTTAGAGAGGACTCGGAGCCTGGCGGCAGGTGTGGGCACCCCTGGTGGTGGCCAGGATGGGGCGAGCGCTCACAGGTGATGCGCGAGGATTGCTGGTTGGTGTGAGGACAGAAGACAGGATGAGCCAAGAGGGGCTGGTGGCTGCCTGGAGCAGAGGAACCCTCCCCTGCCGGGACCCACGG